AGCAAATTGCTGAGGCACCTCGTTGTTCGACGCGCCTTACTTCTGCCAATTGCGCTCCCCGATTACCCCCTGCTCCCCTCCAGACCCCCGACGCCGTGCTTTTTAGTTCTCACGACGCGGGTCTCGAAGCTCCCGGCCCACTCCAAGCAGAAAGCACCGGTCGTGCCCTCGTCCGCGACGCCGAAGGCCCAGGTGCATGACGTGGACGCCAGCGGCGCACGGACCTCTCGCCCTGACCCTCTCGCGGCAACGCAGAGGCCGCCCGCGGGCGTGCGTGCAAGCTCTCCGGGACTGGACGGAAGAAGGGGGCGTTTGATCAGCAACGGAGGCGGTACATAGCGAATCGGATCACTCCCTTGCCAAGCGACGCAGCAACGAGAACGACGGCTTGTCGCCGTCGTCTCGTCCTGGCCCCGAGACCCTCACAACACGACTCGGGGCGAAACGCCCGACCTGGTGACGGGGACGATAACCCCAGGGGCCGACGCCGAGGAACCGCTGCACCGTCGGAGGAGAGGGCGCGTGTAGGTGACTGTCCCCGCGTCTCCTGGCACCAAGAGCGCCCGTGCCCATGCATCGATGGAAGCGCTGGGCGGCTGGGCCCAGACCGGCTGCATGCAGCAGATTTCGTCCCCCCGTTCCTTTCGCATTCCCAAATCTCGTCTGACCCGAGGGCTCGCACGGGGAGATGGACATGCACGGTGTTTGGACGTTGCCGCGATCCAATAATGAGAGCGAGCTATATGCCGCTCGTCACGGGGCCAACTGTGCCGCCGTGGCATACCACTCCCTCCCCTTTACCGGGGCCAGCTTTCATGTATGAACGGGGCCCGAGCCGAGTTGCGAGTCGAGTCGAGTGGTGCTTGGACTCAGAGGAGGGCCGACTGAGACAATGGTGGCTCTCAGAGGTCGAAAAATCCCCTCTCAGAATAATCATCCCGACAAGCGAAGCCGTTTGGTAAACGCACCAAAGGGAATAATCGAACAGGGCAGGTCTGCTCAGCAAACGCCCCAAAGCTGTTCAATGAACGCCCAACTCCGCCTCAAATCGGTCCCCGGACCCATCCAGCCGAACATCTTTTTTTGTTCGGGGCGGGTCCAGCAGTGGCGACGAGAGGCCCTCCAGGATGCCAGAGGGGACGCGCAACGGCAGGGAGGGCCGCCGTTGTCTCGACCTCTCCTCCGAACGACATGAACATCCTAGAGGCCTCGCGCGGCGACTTGAGACCAGCCTTACGTCGGATTCACGTCGGATGTATGATGTACGTCTGACTCAGCTTGGGGCATCGCCGCGCGAACGCCGACCCAAATCAATCTTATACGGAGCGAACGTGTGGATAGGAAATAGCACCGCTAAACACTGCGGCCAGTGGGACGAAGTCGGGCACCGCAGAAAAAACAGAGGACGGCAGATGCGCATCCCCACTGCACCGCCGGCTGCACCGCGCCACGGCGTGCAAGGTCGGGGGGGGGGGGGCAGGGCGCGGCCGCAAGAGCTCGAGAGAACGCGGCAGTTGCGCGCCGCGCCGCCCGCCTCACCACCGCCCATCCCCCACGCACGATGACGCGTGGACCTGTGGGCCATCGCTCGGACGTCCATTCCCTGTGTTTTTGTTCGGCTTCGTGCGCGTTTTTTCGCCAAATGATCAAGGGTGCTCCTCGATGGTCCTCGCCGAAGGAAAAATGCACACGTCCGAGCGATGCCAAGCCAGTGGACTGGACCCTTTTGGGCGACTTCTTGGGGTGGCAAAGATACGTGCACCGCTCGTTTTCCTCGTTGGGCCCCCGGGGGCCCTTTTATGACTGCCCACTAGACCACTGCAAGCCAACCCGAAGTCAACCTTGGGCTCGTCGATTTCCGGTGGGGGGGCCCTCCAGAACAATGAGGAACCACGATGGAACCCGTACACCCCCGACCCGAAATTTGAATGTGTCTGGGACCTTCGGGTTGGGTTGGGGTAGTTTGGTAAGTAATAATTTTAGGGCCCCTGAGGTGCGCAAATGGTACACCTTTCTCTGAAAGCAAGAACTCTCACTGAAACCAGTTTTCCCACCGAAACCAAAAGTTGCTCGCAAGCAGAACTGCTTGTTTTCAGTTCGCAAGAACTTCTGCTTCCAACGAGCGCACCCTTTCATCCTCAGTGAACTCATTGCCGCCCCCCCCCCCATAAGGCGACGAGATCTATGCATATCCACTGCTCCTGGCCAGGCCAATCCTGGGCCCAGGAGCGGTGTATACGCCCTCCTGGCCTGGCCAGGGAGGCATATACACATCTCCTGGGCCCAGGATGGGCCTGGCCAGGAGCAGTGGATATGTATAGATCTCGTCGCCCTACCCCAATGACACAACGCCCGATCCCCTCTGAACAGAACCCTTCGGGGCCCTCGCCGCCCCCCCCCTGGGGAGGGGCCGCGGAGCGCCCCAGAGCTGCTTCGAGTCCGCCAGCATGGCGTCCACCTCCGGGCCCACGCTGACCACGCGGACCGGGTCCGGGTAGGTCTCGCGGCGCGGGGAGGGGAGGGGAGGGGTGGGGCGAAGCGAGCGCCAGAGTCGTGCGCGCTCCTCTGGGGAGGTTGCCCGTGCCCATCAGGGCATGACGTGGAGGCTGCGGCCCTGAAAGTGTGACAAGTGGGCGGACTGACGTGGCAACCATCATTCGGTGCTCTGGGCGGGGGGCGGAGGAGAGGCAAGACGAAGGCAGGACGAAGACAAACCAGGACGAGGACAAGTCGGGAACCTCTGAGAGACGGCGGGACTGGTCGGGTGTTGCTGGCAGTGCCCCTGGCCCAAGATGCACCCAGGATCTCCAAGGAGGCCGCCGAAGCCTCCAGAGCACCCCTCACGAGGCCCAGAGGGACCAAGGGAGCCCAAAGTAGAGCGAAGGTAGGGGCACCTCGGGCCAAGGGCAACTTCACCAACCCCCGAAGTCACGAAGATGCATCGGGCGCCGCGGCCGTTTCAGGTCGCTCTGGAGCGCTCCGAGAGCGCTCTGGAGCGCTCTCTGGAGCGGTTCATATCCTCATCCTCCCAAGGGGCCTCGAAACGGCTCACAAGAAGCCCCCGCGAGGCCCCCCGCGACATCCCAACGAACATCCTGGACGCCTATGACCCACAACCCAGGCGTCTGTGGGGGGGGGATGGTCCGAAGGCCATTCGATATCCTCATCCCAGAGGGCTGCCTGAAGAGGGCAGGGCCTGCACCCCGGCCCCGGCGCCGCGGCGCGGAGGGAGGGAGGGGGCGGTGAAGTGTGGGGCGATGCCGACCGGGCAACGACAAGAGAAGGGGCCTTACGCGAGACGACATAGCGGCCTTACCTGGGGCAAGTATCTTCGCGCTTCGCGGAGCGCGATGAGCTTCGCGCTTTCGCGCCGCCCACCCCCCCAGAACAGGATAGGAAGGACTCGCGCCTTGCTCTGAAATCGCCCAGACCGCGAAGCGCGACTGACTGCGCACCCCCGTGGCCCCAGCTCACGCGGCGGCTTACGCGGGCCGCCAGCGCGTCACGCCACATTGGGAACGAGGGCGCTTACCTAGGGCTCCCAACTTCGCGCTTCGCGCTGCGCGAAGCGCGAATAACTTCGCGCCCTCGCGCCGCCCCCCCAAAGGGAGAAAAGGAGGACGAGGAGGAGGAGGGGGAGGAGAAACGAGGACCGCGAAGCGCGAATAACTTCGCGCCCTCGAGGGAGCCCTTGCTTACGTGCCGCCCTACGCGGGCAGCGTACGCGCCTAAGCCGGTGCATTCGACCCTGTTCTCTGTCGTCGCCCCGCTGCACATCCGCGCATGTCGCGGCCATGCCCACCCCTTATAGGGGGAAAACAAACCTCCCTCGCTTTTGACCACCCTCGCTTCCAAGAGATACCAAACGATGCCAAATTGCAGCCTGTACTGGTCAGGCCGCTTGACGAGGAGGCGCGTGGTACGGCTTGGTTTTGCCTGGAAGCGAAAGCGGGGTAGGTAATTCACGCTCTGACCTTACCCAGGATCGGCGGATGCGCTCTTCTGGCCCGGCCCAGATGGCCTGCAGTCGAGCTTGACTGGAGAGGGCACGCGAGAGGAAGTAAGATCCTTCCAAGGGCCACGTTGCCCGAAGAATGCAGAACATGCGACGTGATACACAGGATCCAAAGGGCACGTACCCCAGATTCGGCAGGGTCGTCTCAGCAACCAAACCTGACTTTTTGCACCAGGTCTAAGCCAAAGATCCGCACGGCCAAGAACTGGGCTGGTGTGAACCCACAACTTCGAGGTAACGCTCTTGTTCACAATATGGACCCCCGGAGATCTGGACCTTGTCCCCGGGACTGGTTTTCATCCCGAACCGTGTTTGCCACTGTCTGGAGGCCTGCTAAGGGCCCCCACACGCTGAGAAGCATCAAAGCCATCCGTCGCTCTGTTTTCCCGACGGGAGATATGTGCAGAGCTCAAAAAGCCTCGAGCCTCCATCCGGGCGACTCGGCGGTCGTGACAAGCTGACCGAGCTCGCGCGACGGGGATTGATCCATAACCGCCGCCTGGGGAGTCGATCCTCGGAGACCCTGGCAGGCAGCTGATACTGGACATACTTGGCTTCCCCAGGTCGGGTGTTGCCAGAAGTGCCCCTGGCCCAAGGCGTCCTCAGGATCTCCGAGGAAGCCCCGATGGCTTCCAGAGCATCCCTCGCGAGGCCCAGGGGGCCCCAGGGGCTCCAAACCTGAGCGAAAAACTGGGGGCACCTTGGGCCAGGGGCACCTCTAGCAACCCTCGACCAGGGCCGCGTTTATATCTTCGCAAAACGATCCGGGATGCTCCTCGATGGTCTTCGGCGAGAGAACCTGCACACGTCCGAGCGATGCCAAGCCCCAGGGCCCGAATACGTCCATGTCCGCCGCCTGTCGAGGTCCCCGAAGATCCATCCCAAGGCGGTGGTTCTGCCGAAACCACCTCCTCGGACCTCGAGGGATCGGTGAATCGAGGGATCGAAGACCTCGAGGGGATCGAGGACCTCGAGATCAGAGATCTCGAGCGATCCGTGGGATCGAAGACCTCGAGGCGCGAGGGCCCCCACCCTCGGAGGAGGCCTCGAGCTCGCGCTCGGGCCTCGCCCGTGCTGGTGCCCGCCGCCCGAGCGGCGGAGGCGTTCGCGCTCGGCCGCCCCCGTTTGGCGGTGCGGGGGGCCCCGGGCTGCACCCACGCGGTCGAGCTGCTGTCCCGACGGAGGGCTCTCAGACTGGGCCCGCGTGGGTGGGGTCGGAGGATCGCGCGACGCCAGCGAGGCATCGCGCTGCATCGGCGCCGTCGGCGTGGAGAACACCGGGCTCCACATCGACCCGCATCGGCGGTGCGTCGGCGATGCGGCGTGATTCTCCGACCCGATCTTCTAGGTCCTACCCATCGGTCGGAAGAAGTGGGTAGAAACATGAAGTAGGAAGGCGTTGAAAGTAGATTGGGTTCCACCCGCCCCCTATGGAGGACGAAAAAAGTGAAGCCACTCGATTATTGAAGTAGGAAGGCGCTCAAAGTAGACTGGAATCTGGGAATTCAGAAATACCTACTTTCAACGACCGATGGGTAATGTGGGAGGCCTAGATTTGTGGCCCCCCGAAGCGCCTGGGTGCAGGGGGAACGCTGTGAGACCAACCGTGAAAGGCCCCGAGGAGCAGCGTGCCACTTCCGGAACCTGCCGATTCCTTCTTTGGGAGCCTTGGCTTCAATCGCTGCAAATTCGTATCGTCACGACTTTGCAATTCGCTGCAAATTCGCTGCAATTCGCAATTCGCTGCATTAGATGCAATCGCTGCAAATTCGCAATTCGCTGCAGGTCGATCTTTCCACCTTAAACGACCGCGGTTTCCCGATCTAGCGTGGGTCATTCGATGACGGTTGATTCCAGGTCACTGGCGACGGTCAACTTTGAACGCCAGCGTTTGGGTCGCCATCGCGTCGACACGGCGCGAGCCTGCCCTACCTTGCCTTGACACGGAAGAAGCGGGTCCCGAGGGAAGCGGGTCCTGGACACTGGCACGACTATCATTGAAGAGTATGTCAGCGCCAACGCGTGCTTGTCCACCAAAGCCGTTCAATACGACGAAAGCGGTGCAATGAGGACTGGCACAAGCTGCTGTGTGCTATCGGTGGGGCTGAACTGGGAAACACCCATTGGGCGAACACGCAGTCTGAGGGTCATCGACCTTTCCCTAGCCGTCTCATGACGGTCCAAAGGCCCCGGTCCCCGTGAGGCCGAAAACGGCGAAAATCCTGAGGGCCTTTCTGAAACATGGCAATCCGTGATCCTCGTCGTCATTCTCGTCCTCCAGCTTCTGCTCCCGCTACTGGCTCTACTCCTGCTACAACGACTACTGCTACTACTGATACCTCGACGACTGTTGTTATTGCTGCTGCTACGACTACTACGGCTACAACAACAACAACAACTACTACTACTACTGCTACTACTACTACTACTACTACGTCGACTACTTCTACGCCTACTACTACGACTACTACCACTACCACTACTACTACTACTACTACTACTACTACTACTGCTACTGCTACTACTACGACTACTACTGCTACTACGACTACGACGACTACTACTACTACTACTACTACTACTACTACTACTACGTCGACTACTACTACGCCTACTACTACGACTACTACCACTACTACTACGACTACTACTACAACTACTACAACTACTACTGCTACTACAACTACTACTATTACTACTACTGCTGCTACTACGACTACTACAACTACCAGTGCTACTACAAGTGCAACAACACCTACTAGTACTACTTCTACTACTACTACTACCTACTACTACTACTACGACGACGAATACTACTACTACGACTACTACTACGACTACTACTACTACTACAATTTACTAATACACGTACGACTAAGACGACGGCAACGACGACGAGTACTATTACTACTCTTAAAGATGACTACTGCTACTACTGATACCTCGACGACTGCTGGTATTGCTGCTGCTACGACTACTGCGGCTACAACTACTACTACTACTACTACTACTGCTGCTGCTGCTGCTACTGCTACTACTACTACTGCTACTACGACCATTGCAACTACGGCGACACTACTACCATCATTACGACCACGACTACGACCACGACTACTACGACAACTGCTGCTGTGACTACTTCGGCTACTACTGATATTACCATTATTGCTCTGCTTTGCTTCTGCTGCTACTACTACAGCTGACACTACCATTTTGATCTGCGTTGCTACTACTACTACTACTACTACTACTACTACAACTACTACTACTACTACCACTGCTACTACTACGTTTCCTGCCACTACTACTGCAACTACTACTACTACTACTACTACTACTACCACTACTAGTGTTACTACGCTTACTACTACTACGACTACTACTACTACCACTGCTACTACTACTACTACTACTACTACGACGACTACTACGACTACGACTACGACTACGACTACGACTACGACTACGACTACTACTACTACTAC